AAGTCTCAGTCATCAATGGTAATGTGAAATCATCTCTAAACCTCAAGACTCCTGAAAGACCTTCCAGAACATTCAGGATAGAGGCGGCAGAACACAGAGACATAGAATGCACAGAAGTTTCCTCTGCACAGAACCCTGCATAAAACCAATCCAGAACAGTCAAGATCCTCTTCAAGGCAGTCAGACAGACTAACCAATCCCCAAAACAATGATAAAAATGACCAAGAGCCTGAGGAGATACAAATCCAAAAACAGGAACATGACAAACTTCATCAAAGATACAATGAAAGACAGCAAAGATCTTGTCGTGTCCAGGTCTCCCACGTTATCCCGTAACTCTCAATGAAACCGTGCTACCATCAATGCTGTAGAATATTTTCCACAGGATCCAAAGGTCCAAAGCACAGACAAGGCCAGAAAGGTTAGGAACAATGAACAATATTTTCACAGACTTTGGAACGTGTTTCCCAGAAAACGGCTACCCAGCCAGGAAATATCAGTCAACATGATCACAATCCTCCTGATCCTCAAGACTCCTGAAGGACCTTCCAGAACACTCAGGATGCGGCAGAACACTGAGACACAGAATGATCAGAATGTACAGTAGGCTTCTTTGCGCAGAAACAATACCGGCAGGAAACCAATCCAGGATAATCCAGGGTAGTCAAAGATCTTCAGGACAGTCGACAGACCAACCAGTCCCCAAAATGATCCTATATCCAAAATGAGAAAGAGAAACACGTATATCATGCGTCAAAGCTATACAATATTGTCCTGATGGCCCAAGTCCAAAAGTGAAAGAACAGGCACAAAGATCAGAAAGGTCTGGAACAAGGGGATATTATTTCACAAAGCTGAGGGACATGCTTCTCCGGAAAAAAAAAGGCTACCCAGAAAAGACCCCCAGGAAAAATCAGAAAAATATATAAATCAGGAAATCCTTTCTTCTTCTCAGGCAACACACTCACACGACCCGTCTAATGTCAAGTTCAGCGACAGACTGGGTCAAACTCATGGCTGCAATGGCTGCCGTACATTCACAATTGAAAGGAATGTTGGTTGACAATCATTTTGTGCCAGCCAAATCCTTCAAGTAGCATCCAAAAACCGCATTTACGAATTTGGAAGGGTAAACAGCAGTGGATGCCAAATCTGGTCCGCCCTGAAAGCCTCGCGCGGTGCGGATCCAGTAAACAGGCACTCTCAGGCCCAAGGCTTTAAGCCTTGCGTTATCTTTTTTAACACGCTTAGCATGTTGTTTTTTGACTTCTTTGGTGGCTTTTCGCGCGCAAGATTTCAATGAGAAATTGGAAAGTAAGTGGGTACCTTTCATGATGGGAGACCCAAAACATCCCATATATGTGAGAACACGGCTCAATTGAAACCTGTGAATTACTTCAGCCATAATCTGCTGCTTGTACATCCACGATGACATAGGCTGCTCAAGGAAGACACGAAGGGTTGGCCGAAAGTACCGCATCAATAGAAGGAATGTGACCTCAGGACGGTGGTCACCACTGAGAGCAATGTCAAAAATGAGGAACTAAACTAAGCGAACAAGTTGAAGATGTTGAAGCAGAAACATACAAACACTAAACAACCTTATATATCTTATATATACAAAAAGGTTTTAGTATCATATCCGAAAAATTCAAGATATCCGAGGTGAGAAAGCTGAAGTCAAGTGACCGTATTTGCCAAGATAAGATTTGACAGGCGCACACATGCCTTTGTTTGGTCTCCGAGCAAATTGTTGGCCTCAATGTGAGACATTGTGAGGCTCCAAAAAGTTCCAAAATATTAAACATCACAAAAGTCTATCTTAATATCAAAAGATATATGCATCATATGTCCTTTTCAATCTTTCCAAATCTTCCCAATTTGTTCAAGATACAGACCTCTTGTGAGTCGCCACTGAAATACCTACGAAGAGACTGCATGGCGGCGCGCATGGTAGGAAGGCGCTGTCGAGAGTCCTGAGATGCTTTTACAACAGCTTCAATAAGGAATATTAAAAAAACAATTCAATATAACATATATAACCAATAGACATATTTATCACGGGCGCGCAATCGATAAAAAATAAAATTCAACATTCACCAACAATGACGACCCCCTGCACGTCGACCACTAAAATCACTAAATGGAGAAAAGATTCGCCATACCGAGATCCAGGAGTTTTAAAAAGCCAGACCTTGTAGTGATGTCCGAAGTTGAGTCTGACTTTATGTCATAAGCTACAGCTTCATATCCATCTTCCTGGAATCTCCTGCAGAAGCTTCCGCTCGCGCTAAATACGTCCACGCAATGATATCTGCGCTTGCCTTGCCACTTGCGGCAAAAGCTGCTGACGAGGCCCCAATTCGGAGCAGCCCAAAACCATGCCGACTCCTCCACGCTTGTAGCTGCATCCTGTCCAATCGAAGGTGTCTTTGGCATCTTTGGCATGGCAAATGCCTCGGCCATCCATGTCAGAAACGTGGGCAGTTTGCCTGAAACCTTCCTAATCTTCAACATCTTCAACTCTCCCGACGAAAAGGAAAATGTAAAGGATGCTAAGACTGCCAAGACTAAAAGAATAAAAACAATTAGATTGTACATATTATACTGGTTTCGTGATCTGTCGAGGTGCAAAGTTGCACAACCACAGGCAAAGAAACTGCCACACCGGAAACGCCATGATGCAAATCACGCGAGACACAGAAATCTCAAAGATCTCAAAGGTGCCGAAACCAAACTAATCACCCACCAAAGAACTTGCTTGAGGAGTTGCGGGAGCGATGGAAAAGATACACTCTCGTCAAGCACTCTCAAGCTCAGAACACTATCAACAGAAATAAAATTCATTTCTGTTCATGGTCATTACATGGACAAAAAGGTTGTAAAAACAACTGCCTGCCAAGATCTTTGGATTTTATTTGCAATACCGTTGGTATTTGCAATTGGGCACAGAACGTATGGCATGGTTGGCAAAAACAATTCTATACTGGCCGCAACTTAAGATGTCTTAACCGTCTTCACAGCGTCCAAACATTCTAGGAAAAGAAACTGCGACAGTCACAGCCCAAAGACAACGCATGAACATCATGAACCAGCCTTCGGATCCTTCAGGATCTGCAGGATCTTTAGGATCTTTCGGCATAGCAGAAAGACTGGGTTTTGGAGCGCCCGAATCGTTCACATCGTTCAACCCCAAGGAATCTGCCTCCTGCAACATCTCTTCAAGCGCCTCCTGCAATCCATCTCTATCATCTCTATTATCATCTCTGTCACGTGGAGCCCTCGGAGAGGTAGGTGGTTCAGCTGGTGGTGGGAGGGGCGGATCACTCTCAAGGTTCTCAAGCTGCAGCTCCTGGCTGCAAATCTATACTGTGGTTGAAAAACACTAAACAGCACCCTGGTCTACTCTAGGATCTCTAGGGTGCTTGAAATCTAAAAAAACAGTCTCTGGGTCTACTCTAGGTGTTTTCAATTTTTTAACCTACATGAAACAAATCGGGGTCCGAAGTCTGTGCAGGTGCAACAGGATCAGGATGAGCTGTAGGAAGATTTGTATCACATCCAAGAGGTGGAACAGCCGGCTCGATTTCTTGAAGCTCTTGAATAGGTTGAGGCTGTATGGCATCCACGCTTGTGGTCGCTAGGTCTGTAAGTGTTTCGATCTCTGCTTGGATTGCCTGGTCTGGACAGGAAACAGGATGAGGAGGATGAGGACGGAAAGGCATGGAAGTCTAAACATTCAAAAAAACAATCTAAAAGCATACGTCATCCACGCAAACAATTCAAATGTTTCAAAAGTGAATCAAGAAAGTAAGACTGCTAATTCATCCCAATCGCTTTTCCTATTCCTCTGCGGCAACCCTGGCCAAACCACCGGAAATGAGCATAGACAGTTTTGTGTGCGTCTGACTGGGTGCAATCTGCGAGCCAACCTTGATGTCGTGTTGCGAACCGAAGAGGCATAACCCCGTGTACACAGGCATTGTCGCTGCAACATTCTGGAGCCGGCGGTTTGCATTCTTTGGAGCCACAGTAGCATGGAAAATCCTTGCCAGGCTGGCATGTGTGCATGATGCCTGAGGAAGATGTAGAATCGTCCTTGGCCTTGCTTTTCTTCTTCTTCTGCGCAACTTCCTGGAGGTCGTAGCAAGCAACAGAATCAAAATCAGTTTCTGATTTGGAGAACTAAAAGCGTAAAGACAAGCCAAATTTCAAACATTCAATACAACATTCAGCCTGTGAACTTTTCCCTGCCTGTTCAGGTCGGTAATCAATGGTGATCTCTTCACCAATCTTGATGTCCTTCTTTGCGATCACCTCAACTGTCCCCCGTAAATCCCCGCAAATCCTCGAACATCAACATCTCGAACTGGATGCCCAAAAAAGTCCAGAAGTCTCAAGGTCCGTGGACACACAACCCAGAACCAACAAATGAAACATGGCGGATCCGTGAGCTTTATTCATTTTTGTTGGGTCACTTGATCCAACGAGAAGATCGAGAAGAAGAATGATATTGATGATACTGATTTGGACCAAAGAAGTCATTAGAAATATTATCCTAATGAGAACACTCAAAGATTTACTATTGAAGCTACATGTGCACACATATGGTTGATTCCAGTGAATTTTATTTTCTAGGTTTGTGGATTTTGTCACCTGTGGGCACTATGCTGGCATACCTGCGCACCAGGAAAAAATATTGTTTTTAAAAACAAGGTTCCAGCACGCAACGAAGCCACACGGAAGCACCATCCGCTGAAGTGCCAATGGAAGGCTCTGGGCAATGCCACTCCTGCAAGATATCTTCCACAGGCAAACAAACCTAAAGCCAAGTTTAGGGAACTCACAAATACGAAGCACGTCAGAGCTTTTTTTGGCCCACACTTCAGTCCTCAAAGCGGCAATTGGAATTGCAAGCGTGATTGATAAATCTGGCCTTCGAACCCTTCACTCCTCGCCAGAGAAATTGAAGATACTGAATGAAACAGTGAACATAGTGAATGATCTCATCATGGTGATTGATGAGCAAAAAAATACAAATCTTGCAGTGAACATAGTGAGCTAGAGCTGCTTGAAAAAACAATTAAACTAATTTCAACGAGCAAAACCACAAGCTCTTCGTATCCTGCGTCCAAGAGAATCTTGGAGGAGCCAGATTTCACACTCAGCATGTATGCATTGGGAGTGGTCATTCCCATACGCCACTCACCAGTATACTCGCAAACCAAATCTCCTCAGGGACGCGAGCAGGAAATCTAACTGACAAACAAAAAGCTTAACATGTTTTAAAAAACAAAAATCACAACTAAGGAACCAGTCAGCGCAGTCAGGCAAGCTAGGAAAGGAATGCAACAACAGATTTCTTCGTAAAGTGACTTAGCTCCTTCTTTGAAGGACTGACCCGCAAAGAGCCCATAGGGTGTAGTCTGAAGCTTCAAAATCACGAGACGTGGAGCTTCCCCTTGCTTGCTACGCCACTCTTGAACCCTGCGATTCCCACAAGCCGTTGCTTTGCATGAAGGTCCACACTCCATGCGCTTGCTGAAATTCCTCGACAATTTCATCAGGCACGTGCAAACAAAGTCACTATAAGTCACTGGTGTCTGCAAATTCCAACTATGACCATCATAATCCTGATCGAAATTATAGCAAAAAATAGCAGGAAAAATAGGAAAATCATCATCATCTTCCCAGGGCTCTTGCACAATGGGCCACACTCTTCGATGCAGTCACATTGAGCACTGTCTGCTGACAATGAGAGTTCAGTCAACAGCACCTGACGCGTCTTCTCGTCTTCGCTCCATGCATTGCCATGCGTGTGAGCTTGCCAAGCCATTCCGATTGCCGCAAAAAGAAGCCGGTATTGAAATGGCTCTGCTGTTTCGTTTGGTTGCGTTTCATGTGTTTCCCTGTCAGATGTCAATCACAACTCACGACCGGCACAGGATCTTCGAGCCAGACTGTTCCGCCAAACAGTGCACCTGATGCTGCTGGAAGTTGCAACCTGTCTGATGGTTTCCACAATGCGAGATTATCAACATATTATCAACTGCGCACACGAAACATCAAACAAATACACAATAAAATCCAACAGTGCCATCGTAATATACTACTTTTTTTGGTGCTTCAGGTCGTCCGAAGATTCTCTGTGTGGAAATTATTGTTGTTGAATGTATGTTGAATGTGCTGTGTGAAGTGGATGCATTCCTGATACAGGCTACAAATATTATCCAGTGTTTGTGGTTGTGCTTTACGTGTCAGCTGGGCTGTGAGATCCTGAGACAAACAATGGTTGTGCTGCGTGGACTTTATTGCTGCTGACTATGTGGTGTCAAGATGTGTACCGTGGACACATTCTGTCCAAAAAACTTTCTTTCCAGGCTTCCTGTTCGGATTTGCTTACCTGTGTTGTCCCTGTAGCAAACAAAGATAACAAAGGTTAGTCTGTGGAGGTGCAGTGGATGGACGGTGGAGCGGGCCTGGCTGAGCTCAACCATTCCTCACACAGAACCTCTTCTGGTGAAAATCCAGCACTGGCAAAGACACACACAAACATATTTTTGTTTTATCCAGTCTAGGGTGTTAATTGCCGAGACTGGCTCAACTCAACGAGTCCTCGCACAGAACCAGTTCTGGTAAAAGCCCAGCACTGGCAAACACACACAAACATCATCTAACATCTTTTCTCCAGGCTAGGGTTTTAATTGCCGAGATTGGCTCAGCTCAACCCAGCACCTAGTACAAAAATCCTATTTAGCCAGTGTCGGATTTTAAAAGCCGACGCTGGAAGTAATACACACAACACACACCCAATTCTGGAAAAGACCAGAACTGGCAACACACAAAAAAATCCTATTTAGCCAGTTAAAATCCGACACTGGAAGTAATACACGCAACACACACTCAGTTCTGGAAAAGACCAGAACTGGCAACACACACAAAAATCCTATTTAGTCCTATTTAGCCAGTGTCGGAATTGAATAGCCGACACTGGAAGTTGAGCCCAACGATTCCAAAAGAAACAGAAGATGAGTTGCACCTTTCGGCGCTATTTTACACCTTTCGGCGTACTAGTTACAAGTAGTGTTTCTTTGTTATTTTGTGGGCTGGGCGTGCCCAAGCTAAGGCCCATGAACGCCAGCAGGACGAAGATGCTAATTCCTGAGTCTCCTTAGTTCTTTCCTTAGTTCTCTGGTGATCACAACCCTTTAGAAAATCTATCAACATACAAATAACGCAAATAATATCAACATGTCCAACATAATCAACATACAAATAATATCCTGTCTCCCAACGTGTTTTTGGAACACTATGCATAAAAATATAATCCTTTGCTCCCAACGTCTTATAACAAAACCTTGGGTCACAATAAAATGCTGTGTGCCAGAGGTTGTATGTACATGCTAAATCATCTACATCTGGTGAAAGCAACATACCAT